TTGGTTATTACTTCTATAGAAAGGATTTTGTGAGTAACATCTCCTAAAGACAGCAGATGATTATCTATGACTTCTACATGAACAAGTTTACTTTTTCTTACAATGATATCTTAAGTCTTTTAACAATTTTTTTATCTAAAAAGCATGTTGAGGCTCTTGAATCAAAAAAGACACAAGCTTTGAAATGTATAGGTCATAAAATAATATTTAATATAAAACAAGAAGAAGTTTTTGAGGAGAGAATATGACCTTCATTAGGTATTGTATAAGGTTCCAATCACATGGTCTCTATTGTAGTTGAACAAACTTGTTTTACGATATATTGACTTCTTTGACATTCATACTCTTTATTTTATAATTGCGTCACTTCTTTAGACAATGTTGAATAGTATACATAGATTCTCTATAATATAAGCACAATCCTTTTTGACGGTGATGAGTCTTTTTTTGCTCACTAAAATGTTTGAAACGTACTACATCAATTTACATATTATCTACTTCTGAATATATGTATTGAGGAGACATTGGTATTGCTATTAAATTATAATAAAGTTAAGGCCCACTTGTTTGATTCTCAGATCAAAATTCAAAAAATCAATTGTCATATTTCATAGCAAAGTCAATTGCTTGACTCAATGTTTGAGGATTAGATAAGTTGAGCATCAATTTTTTTACCTCATATTGTAATCCATAAAAAAATTGGCTAATGAATGCAGTATCATTTGAATTGATATTAATTGTAAGTTGTTAAAATTGTGAAGCATATAATATTACGGATTAATTGCCTTATCGTAAAATATGGATCTTGTTGATTGCAACATGAGTTATATCATATTTTCTATATATGGATTAAAACTCCATTAAAAAAAAGCCTCCAAATTATTCAATATTGGATCTCGTCATTCAAAAAAAGATGAAAATCACAATAATGGTGAACTTGAAAAAAATATACCAATGAATCTAACTTGTAATCTTAGAATTAGATAGCTTTGAGATTGAAGTTCAATCACAAGTTGTACTTGATTGATAAATCCTCAAAATTTGAATCTTGTGCCATCAAACTTCTCAAGAATGGCAATTTTTGGTTGTTTAATACTGGAAGGATGTTCCACCATAGGAAAAGGGATATGATTGGATGCAGATGTTGAAGCAACTCCAATCATATCTATATCTTCACTTTTTGCCATTCTTATTGCTCCTTATGGTGGTAAACTAAGTTGATGCATCGTAAGAATTAATTCTCTCAATTGTTGTAGCATTTGTTCCATTGCATTGTTCATTTCAATAAACTCTGCCATAATAATACTTAGAAAGTAAATGTCTAATATTGCTCAAGACAAGTAATAAAAAGAAAACTTGAAAACAAAGAAGATACTAAAAATAATATTAGTTTAGAAGATGGTAATCCGTAACTTCTATTATGCTTATGTCTTATTAAAAAAAAAAAAAAAAAAAAATTACTCTTAATCAAGAAAAGATAAATCTCTAACATTATAAGTGTACTCTTGTCAATCTGTCAAGGACATGAAGTGGAAGAAAATACATAAATTTGAAAAATTTGTATTAAAAGAAAAGTGACAAAATAAGAATAAAATAGTATGTATATTAAAAAGAAATTAGAATGGCTATTGCCAAAAAATAAGGAAACTAGAGATCCTTAAATCTAGAGTAGAAGTAAGAAAGGATTTAACAAGAGTGAAGAGGGCTTCACTCTTACCTCTATATATACTATCTAACTAGGAGCTACATGGCAATGTTCTATATGACTTCTAATATGTGTTGACTTTATAAGACACATGCCTTAGCTTACAAGGTAAGTTTTTTATATGTGGGCGACATAGTTAACTTGTTCTTCAAGCTATAAACATATGTGGCACATGGCCAATTTGTTGACCACGTTTCTAACTTAAAAAGTCAATTAAAGACACTTATAAAGTTAAAGCAACATCTTTGAAGCTTTTAGAAAGCTTCTGCAAAAGATATTATAAAATTAATCTACTTTTATCTACTTTTATCTAATCACATAAGTTATTATTGGTTTATATGTATATGTCCGTGATAGGGAATGTGTTAGTGATATCCAACATACATATACTTCAATTCATCTTCCAAACATTTCATCCTTTTGATATTAGGGTTGGATAAAAAGAAGAAAGTTACTCCATGGTAGCTTTAAGTGGCCAATAAACTTCAGCTTGTACATAATCTTTGTCCTCTAATGAAATATTGCAATATTAGCAATAAGTTGTACTAATTGGTGCTTTAGTCAATTGGCATGGATTCCCACTTTCAGCCTTCATCTAGGATTCTCCCCTCACCCTCACAATTCTGTAGTATGTCTTCAACACAAGCTGCAATAACTTTCTATTTGCTCTTGTTTTGGCCTTAATTTGTCAGCAGCAGCATCTACAACCATGCTGACGTTGAAACTAACTTTTGACACCCGCCACAGCCAATTTCTGCTGTAACTTCATCAGCAAGCTCCACATCAAGAGAAATTTTCCTTCCTCCCACAAATTCTATCCATCGTGTCTCCTTCCTTCACCACCGATTCAAGTGACCAGGACCATGGCTGCTGCATTCGCTCACTTCACATTTCTTTTCACAGTTTTCAATCTCTAGCTCCAGTTCTATTGACCCTGAAGAGTGCTCCGAGTGTGGGGCAATTGTAGAGCCCACATCAGTACTAAGAGCGAACGAAATCGGGAGTTGGTGACCAACACAAACACGATGATATTTGCACACTGGAGGTTGTGAAGCTTGAATTCGAACCATCCTTCAGTCTTCACTACACTCCTTTCGGGCTTACAAGGAGACTCTCCATGTGTTGCTGCCATTCACTGAGTCCTCAAATTGAACTTCCTGCATCTTTAGAAATGCCTTTCCTTCTCCAAGCAGCTGGTATATTCTGCAAAATCAACTAAAAAAGAAACCGTGGGGCTAAATTTACAGAGAAACATCCAAACAATCAAACCACCACATCGTGGTTGATGAGAAGGGGCAGAGTACAAGGATAGTCTATCAATGAGTTAAATTGACCAACTTTGAGAGCCTCGGTGAAGTGATTGTTCTCAGAAATGCAGCAAATGACCTCTCATCTCGTCTGATCAGAGTTGCAGTAAGGAATGAATGCATCAAAAAGGATGCAAAGTTGGAGGCTTGATGGAAAGAGGAAACCAAGGACCAGAGGACAAAGACGAGTTATTGTGGGATCAGTGCTTGGTACTGTATGTGATCCTGCGAAATGGAGCTGCATTATTATGCATGTGGGAAGATTAGATATGGGAGCCTCACATGTACAACAAATTACGATCAATAAAGGAAAGACCCAGTAATCCCAGAGAGAGAGAGAGAGATAGAATTCATAACATGGTAAATGGCTCATTACAGTCAGTAGCATCAGAATGATAGCCTCAAGTATCGGTGTAATTCTTCATGTTCAGCAATATCTCTTTTCTCACTCAAGCCCTTATTTTTGCATCTCACAACTTGGTTTGCACAACATTTTTGTGTCCTTTTCTTACAGAAAATGGGTCTTTTTGAGAATACTTGTGTTTCATGGCAAGCTCTTCATAGTGTTAATTAAACTCATAGGATCAATTTGTGGTCTTCAAAGTTGTGGATAGAATTAAGTCTCTTTAATTCTTTGAAAAAAAAAAAAAATTACACAAACTTTTTTATCTATTTTAATTTTTTTAAATAAAATAAGTAAAAATATTATGAAATCTTTTTTAAAGCAATCAAGCAATTTTTTCACACATCAAAAAACTTGTTAAATTATAAATTTAAATTAGTTTTTATCTTTATTTTGTGATCTCTAGTTATTTTCTAATTAACATAATATTTTTTTTTATATCCATTCTATTAAAATTTTCTTATTCTCCTAATAGATTTCCTGTACTTATAATTTATTGATTTATTTAATTATTTATATAACTATGTATTTAATTATTTATATAACTATGTATTTAATTATTTATATAACTATGTGTAGTTCTTTTAACTACCAACAACTTCAATTATTTTAAGAGTATGTGTGTGTGTGTATATATATATATATATATATATATACATATATATGTATTTAAAATAATGCATGTCAAATAGGGTCTAGTTAAGACTCTTGTTACAATCACATTATTTATAAAAAAAATTATGTTATGTTAATTAAATTATTTCATTTGATTACTATAAATGAACAAACAAACATATATAATTTTTAAGACTGATCTTTCTATTTATATGCTTTAAGATTTAATATTAATGTGCAATCAAATGTATATATATATATATATATATATATATGTGTGTGTGTGTGTGTGTGTGTATATATATATATATATATATATATACATATACATATATACTCTTGCATAAAATTATACTATAATTGTAAAAAAAAAACATACGATTTTGTTCAAAAAAACTCCCAAAAACTCTAATTATCTATATTTTGTGTATTGTATAGGTTTTTCTTTATTTTTTTAATATTACAAACTTATAAGATTTTGTTCTTACAATCCATGCAATTCAATTATATTATATGTTTGAAAGTTATTTGAAGTTTATTTAAAAATTACCAACATGCAACTCAAATATAGTCATTATTAATAATATGTTTGTTTGAAATTCCATAAAACATAATTATTTCATGACATCCAATTTAAGTGTTTTACTTAATATGTTTTTCATCTATAACACTTAAAGTAATCATGGATCATGGTAAACATAGAAATTGTTTAATAGGAAGGGGAAATGTATTTAATTGATGATTATTCCAATTATGACAACAAAATCTTATATTGAACAGTCGTACCTATTTTCCTATTGCTACAGCAGGCTAAAATAAGTTTTTTCAAGTCTGCAACACCCATTTGAATTGTATATTCAACATTCTAACATTCAATATTGTTTTAGGTGTTCTAAGTGGATTTTGTTAAGTTGCATTATTGTACATTTATGTTCAGTTGTTGCGACACTCAAAAGTACGAGCCGTGCAGTTTCAGTGAGAACCCTGGTTGCACATATTTGTACAATTATCAAGCTCAACATTAGAATAAGCACCATGGTAGCTCAATCTGAGTATCTGCGCAGGAATTGCTTAGATATCAATCTGATCTATGAATAGAATGCCGAAACTCCTATTTAAGCAGTAGTGCCTATGGCTCCAAGTGGCAATGGATACATAGGAAACTTCCATTGCAAATGATTGCTGTGTTTGTGATTGATGGAGTAAACTACTGAGGACATTTGCTGTGGACTTGAATACTATCAAGTTGCAATCGCCCCTGAAGCAAAGTGTATTTCGCCCTCATAACCTTGTTCGTACCACTATCCTCATCTCTACTAAGTGACAGATAGAATGTAGAGTCATCCAATGCTGCATCACCAAGAAAATATCGTCACGGAACCTTAATGTGCGTAAGTAGAGACCAAATCATAAGAAACAAGATGATGCGAAGGATTACTAAAACATACTGGAATCCTGCTAAAGTTACAACATACAAGAATGAGCACCTTTAATAGCCAAGATCTGAGGCAACCATCTTTGATAAATGAAACGCAACCGTGGTGCTTCTCCAACATGTGAGTCTGAGATCAACAAATGGCATTGAGCTGAAGTTCTCCCTGCATTTTCACTGAGAACATGAAGAAAAATTCTTAAGATTTTATGTTAATTTGCAGTCAATTGCAAGCAAGGACGCTATTCACATTGAAATGTTGACATTTCCCTAAACCTATATGCATCAGTGGCAGAAACAACAGCCTCGAATGTACCTTGACAGTGCCCGTAAAAGATGAAAAAACCAATGCCATAAACATGAATGGTGTGATAGAAGAAGGAAACAAAAGTCATTTATCTCAAAAAATGCTTCAATTGAAAGTAGTGCACTCAATCTTACTTGACGTAGCTGATGGCGTCATAACAAAGAGCCAATGTCTTCACCATTGCTGACTCTCGGGGGCGTATGTGTCCAAATCGTTCAGCACAGGGCCTGTAATCAAGTCGAGAAGTCAGCGTTCATAGGTCAAGCCTTATTTTGCAACACTGCATTGAGTAGCAGGCGTCAGAGTTCAAAAGAGGAAACTTCCGGAGAATTGAGGTCAAAAGAAGTGGAGAAGTCGCCATCTAATATTCACTATAAAATTATAGTTGTTTACACAGAAGAGAGGAAGAAATCCCCCAATGCTTACATGTCTACTTCTCCACCTTACATCCCCACATAACAAATCAGCCTAATAAACGAGCAAGTTCGCCTACCTTTCATTAAACAAGTCATGGAAGTCGTCAATAATAACAGCTCTTGGAAAATTTCTTTGAACATGAAAGGCAGCAAAATATTTTCGAAGTTCCTCATCATCACGTATATATCTGCAGTTCCAGTCGTAAGTGATGCAACTCCGAGCTCCTCGCTTTGTCAAGTAACGAAGAGGAGGAAGAGGAAGACGTATATAACTCCCTGAAAGTCTTATCAAACTTGAGCGAGTCTCCGGACATACTTCAAATGTTGAAAACTTATCAGAATAATCTTACTAGATACCATCCTGCAAACTGTAAATGGCTCGTAACTACTTACTTTATGGTGATTCTTGCAAATGCATCCGATTCCGGATCAACACCCTGCAGTAGGCATTGCAACAGTTACATATGATCCCCGAACCCTAGAGACCACCCTCTTCACTTCCTTGCATATCAAGCTTCTACGTGGAACAATGAGATAGAGCCAAAAGTATATATCAATGGGGGTTGATGACAATTAGCATTGTTGCGAAGACGGGAATGTTAACCGAAAGAGAGGCAGGAGTCTTACCTGAGACAAACATGGAGGATTCTCATCAAAAGAGTGAGGTTTGCAGAGGAAGGTTACAAAGGAAGAAGAGTCCTGCTTGGCACAATTGTAAGCAAATTGCAGCAGTAATGAAGTCTTACCACTGCAAAAAAACAACAAAAAATACTCAAATACTGGAAGCATTTGCAAGGAAAAAGCATATATTGGCTTTAACCACCTTAGACGAAAAAACGAAATAAGACCTCAATTTCTGTAACATTCTTGTCAAGCCAAAAAAATGAGAATAAGGCTACGTAAGTCGAGAAGGAAAAAGATAAATATAATTTCGCCCACCTGGAAAAGCCACTACGAAAAAAAATTAAAAGTGGGGAGGGTGATTTCGTAAAGACATGTGAAATCCAAATTCACAAGATCGATGGCGAAGTAAAACTGACCATGCTGGAGGTCCCCAGAGAAGAGCGCGTGAGCCAGGCGTAGGAGAGAGGTCTGCGAGGGTTGATGACCCAGAATTAGAAAGGAAGAGATCGGACAACGAAATTCCTGACTCTCCCTCAAAGACAACTGCTTCATTTGCATCTTCTTCTTCTTCCTCCTCTTCACCTTCATCATCTGCGTATGCCGTCGACATGAGCTGCGGTGATCCCTCCACCCAAAAAATTAAAAAGGGATTCAAACATTCCAAAACACAATACATCTATCCACAAATCTAAGTTCTCGCCAAATAGGAACATCAGTCAAGTACGCGGCCTCCCGCCAGCTTGAGAGTCCTCTCATTTGGATGGATGCGGTTGCCACACTACCTTTTCATCCGTCAAGACAGCAATTTCTTGGTATTCAGCGAGTTCTTTCCCAAGACACTTGTGTATGGACTTCTCCGAGACCTCACTGAATGGGTTGATTCTCAATTCTCACGTCTTATCTTTGACACTATGCATCAGGTCATTTCGTTAACTTTCACAACCCAATGATGTACAGTTCAAAAGAACCTTGCGGATAAGAAAATATGCTGGTGGTTTAGGGTACTATACTTCAAGTTTAGGGTACTACACTATACTATATCAAGGTTGCACAGAAATTTCAAAATTTATTCAAAGTCTTTAAATTGGATCAACATGTTCTTTCAAAATTCATATTCTTGATTGCCCAATTTAAGAGTAGATTTGTTCCATCCCTTCTAAAAAACTTATTTAACAAGTCCTAAGCCAATATTTAAATGACTCTACATTAATAAGACTTATACATGAAGAATTGGCAACAAATGTTTCTAAATTTTCCACAAGTTTAAAAATGGTTCTAATTTTAAAATAAATTGGTCTATACTTTTAGTTTATTGGTAATACAAAATCACTCTTAGGTTTCATTGGGCGAATTAATTTTGATAGATATGGAAAAATAATTAAAAAATTAAGATACTAATAAATACATCTTTTGATTATTTTTAAAAAATATAAATATTTAATATTTTTATTATTTAACTTAGAAAAAATTTAAGAATTGATGTTTAATTTATTTTAATATTACAAAAATATTTTTTTATCATAAATAGTATCTTAAAATTTGGATGGTATTGCTAAAACCTATAAAAAAAATTTAAATATATAGTAATTAATATTATTAGAAAACAATATAAATTCTATCTTGAACCAATAAAACATAAATTATTTTTCATATGTCTAAGAAAGATAGAAGACTTGGATAAATTGATAAAAATAATCCACCATAATATCTTTATTATTAAAATATATACTTTAATATTTTCATTAAAAAGAATTAAATATCCAAAATCTTATTAATAATGTACTTATTAAAGATATAGCCAAAGTTATAAAAGAATGATGGTTAAATTATAAACAGGCCATAAATCCCTCTTTAAAAATAAATCGTTCAATCTAAAAACTCATCATATATAAATAAGAATAGATCAAAATACTCAATTTTTTTCACCTAAATAAATCTAAGATGTATCAATTTTTATTTTTTATTATTATTTTTTAGTATAATCTAAATAAATTGATAATAGTCTTAATCATCCAACTTCAAAGAATTATCTTCTTACATATAAAAAAAAATGAAATTTTTTAATGATATGTTTAAATTTAAAGAATAAAGATTTATTATTGTAATAGATTTAAAAGAAAATTTAGCTTAGAGCTTCAAGCCAATCACTTTTGGCAACACATCTCCTTATTGTCTTTTGACTTATAGATGTATGTAATAGATAAGAAAATTAATCTTTAAATAAATAAGAATTAAATTGTTTGAACTTATATGATACAAATGAATGATGGTTAATTTGTAGAGATCTAAGTTAAGTAGATATTTTATTGAATTATATATATATATATATATATATATATATATTTTAAAGTAAAAAAAGGCTCTTAAGCTTCTAGAACTTGGAATTAAGTTACACTTTTAGTGCACAAAATGACTTTTTATTCTTAAAACTAGAGGCTATACAATGATTTTAATTGGAAGCAAGCCATATTTGACACTAAACTCTCTACAATCTCTTTCTTCTCAACTACAAATATTAAAAACCATTTGGAACTTTAATTGATGCTTATTCATTTCTATTATTTAGAGACAAAGAAATAAAATGGTCTTCAAATTTAAGATTTAGAATAATTTCAAAAGAAGATAAGAAGTGTGGTCTAACATCAAAGATTATAGATGAATGGCTTAGAACAACATACATAAGAAAAATCCTAAAACTTTCCATTTACATAGATGTTCTTTGAAGATAGTGGAATAAGTCATAGATGGCTAAAAAATAATATTCATTAAAATAGGGATTATTATTTGCTTATGAAACTAAATTTTTAATAGAAGCTTTATTATTTACTCTCTACATGATTTATAAGAAGATAAGTGATAAGTTGTATTATATGATGGTTCATGTTATAAGTACACCACAAGTTGTTGTACACATTTTCCAAATTGCTATATATACATTCAATAAAATAAAGACCTCCAATTGGCTACTTATTTCGTAAAAATTGACACTTGTCATTATTGCAAAAGTTCCATTATCATCTTCTATAATAGTTCTATTGGTTGGTCAACAAGCAAGGTGCAAGAATAGAGTTCTTACTTGAGTTTGATTTTAATTTTGTTTCTACAATTCCACAATGATTCTTAGTCTTATACTTCATTTTTTTTTTTTTTTTTTTTTTTTTGGATATGAGTCTGCTTAACATCTCGGCCATCATCCCACCAACTAGTCTATGCACATCCAACTACTAAGAGCTTGTGAAATTCCATTGCCCATTATTGTTCTGTCATTGCTGTAGAAACAATGTCGAGATATTATTGTAAAGCATCTAGAACAACAAAGAAGATGTAATTTGCACGCTCTTTACTCCAATTTGTAATAAATGTGTGATATCTTTGTGCCAATCATTAAGGTGGTGCTTGGATATTAATCATAGTAAGCATTGTATTTGCCATATGGAGGAGAATAACCCTCATGCTCTTATAAAAGAAAATCTTAGTTGATGACATTGATTGATTTTTTTATTTAGCTAGCTACAACAGCTTAGAGATTTTGGAATTGATAAAAATGCTGCAATACCTAGTGATATAAAAGACATGTGTTTATCTGACAATATAAGAGTTTAAAGAACTCTTAGCAATGCTCAAGAATTGTTGATACGCAGCTAGAATTGTGACCAACTATGTCATTTGAGAAGGCATTAAGAATTTGATACATGATTGAAGAAAGAAGAAAGAAGAAGATAAGAAACTTTGCCAGAATATTGGTAGCTAGATATTATAAACAACAATTGTATATTTGCTTGATATTATAAACAACACTTGCATATTTTCTTGATTTCAAGCAACAAAATAATTATTTAAAATTAAAAAATCTAGCTAAAGAAATTGTTGATATTGCATTGATGCTTAGTTGGCAATTATCAAAGCTCTATAAGAATTCAAGAGTGACTACAAGGCCCGATATATTATGGAAGATATTTGCAATAAACTTGTCTAGAAGAATGATGATAAGAAGCTAAAGCTTAAAAATTGCAACATAAAACCTTGTTAGATTAAAAAGTTGGAGAAGAAGTCAAGAACTTGCTTCAAGTCTAGGATTCATAGCAAAACTAGAAAGACAAAGTTAAAATCAAACTTGAGTAGAAGAGTTGCTCCTTCACCCTACTTGCAAATCGATCAATGGAATCATTACAGTAATAGCAAGTGTGAGTCTTTACAAAACAATTAGCCAATTAGAGGACTTTATTTATTTTTTGGATGTGTATATAGGAATTTGAAGTATGTACATAGCAACTTTGGGTGTGATTGTAGCTTAACCCTTATATGATATGTTTATTTATAAACTTGTCTTATCAAAAAGATATTAAAGATTAAGTAATCTAGACTTTTAAGTATTCTTTTGCAATCAATCCAACAAATATATCGAAGTTGCTTAAGAGAATAATAATAATAATAATAATAATAAGTATACAAAAGACTTAATATTATAAAATGAAAAAACATTTGAAATTAGATGTTCATAGAAAATTTTATTTCAATTTCAGTAATTATTTTTCAATTCACAAAATTGCATGTAGCCATTATGACATTTGATATACCTATTATGCTCATATTAATAAAGTAAAAATTAATATACTATGTCATGTAAGTTATTTCTTTTTAGGCCCATGAAATTTAGTGGACTATTTTTATATCAATCTTAATTTATGATACATACTTTAAATTTTTCATAGTTTTACGATTCTTTATTTATTCTTTACTTATTCAAAGTATGCACATCATATTGTTGTGATATATTTACTTTTATTCATAAAACATAACCACATTTTGTTTGAATGGATTTAATTTTTCACTTCTTTTTTTTCAATCTCAACATTTTAAGCAATTTATCTTTGATTTCATTTCTCTAAAGCCTGTATTTTATAACAGCTTGTAGTCTGACATAACATTTTTAACTGTATTGATTTAAAGAATATGATGTATACATATATTGTCGCACAAAAGAAATAAAAATAAAAAATAAATATAAGGTTCTACTACACTGCGATTGTAAAGAACAGTGAGTCTAGTTCCTATTGTCCATTGTCAAAGTTAAATTACTAAATTAATGGAGTAAAGATGAAAATCAAAACTCAACTACAAATGATCTATTCTAAAATCTATGTAAACAAGTTTTTCTTTTTCTTCCTTTTTCCACAAAATATGTCCATAAATAATAACAGTATTAGGGGTTTTAGGTGATTACATTACCATTTCAACAGCACAACTTCACATACAACCTTAAACTCTTGTCCTATCTCACAATAAGTTGCCCTTCTGCTCCAAGTTTTGAGTTTCTCAAACACATTCATTTAGACAAAACCCATTTCCCCTGTGCCAAAAAAGGCCCTAAATGAGAACTGTCAATCCACTATAATCAATTTTAAACCGCGGCTAACCTATTATTTAGCTTCTCCATGTAAGACCTAGACAACCTGGACGTAGTATACGAGTTCGAATAAGAATAATAATAATACAGCGAGTGTGCACAAAATATACCGAAATCAGCCGTCGTCGCCGCCGGAGCTGTTGTCGCGGTGTCGGTGGAGAGCGAAGTTGCAGTGATGGAGTCTTCTTCTGAGGTACCCCTCGTCGAGGTTCACCCTTGACGTGAGAATATGCTTCTGAGCACCACAACGAAAGCAATCCAGCCTTCATTGTAATTCCGCTTGCGGTGGTGGTGGTATCAGTTCGTCTTCTTCTTCTTCGTCGGAGCTGTACTCGTACCCGAAATGCAGCTGATCAACCGTTAATTCACTGAGCCCCCTTTGATCAGTAACACCATACGTCTGCGCAAGTTGGGCTTCGGGAGGATAGAGGCTCTCAGCGCCATTCTGCCACGCCGGATTTATTTGAAGACCTTGGAACTGCATCTCGAGCTGAGCGCCGAGTTGAGCTCCATCGATCGAGCTCGGATCCAGATTTCTTCTTTGATATTGCGGTTGCGCCACTGGATAGGGGTACCCGTAGACTGGAGTGTTCGCCCATGGGTTGTTATTGAATGTGTGCTGCGGTGGGTATTGGGGGTGAATGTACGGAGCCTGGTTTGGATAAGCGGCGTACCCATACTGATTGAAACCAGGTTGGTATGGCGGATAAAATTGTGGCAGAGCGTATGGAATGGGATTGCAGTAGCCGGCGTTCTCCAACGGATTGAAACTGGAAGAGGATTGAGTTTGAGGTTGGGGTTGCTGCTGAGCGTCTTGAACAAGAGTGGAGGGTACTGTTCCGAGGCAGGAGGTGTCTTCGGCAACAAACGGTAACTAGCCGTCTCCACCCTCGTGGATTCAATCGCGTACCACTGCTTGAGGTTGTGGGCCGCAAAGCTGACTGATGGGTCTTTGTAATCACTGATGTACATGTCCACAGACGGCATCAGCGTTATGTACCTGTCGTTTCTGCCAATGATGCGCATCAATGCGTGCACAGGGAGGTTGGGAGCGTTGGTCTTCTTTCTCGCGTAGTATTCATGAAATCTTTTGCAGATCAGGTCCTCCTTGTTGATGTACAATTTGGGCACCCAATCTGGTAGTTTCTTGTAGCTCTCGAGGTTCTGTAAATATTCCTGAACACCTGCTTGGACCCTCTCGGGTAACCATATAAATGGGGGGTTGAAAAGGTGGGTTTCCAAACGATGAGGAGGATTCATGGAGGCGAGATCTTTGGCAATGAGAAGTGCGATCGCTCCTCCAAGTGAGTGTCCAGTGATATAAATTTCGTGAGGTTTACCATTATATGGGTGGCCTTGAAACTTCGAGACCAAATCAAGGACTTTTTGTGGCGGGTGCTCTGGTGAAGTGAGTTAAGCATAACTCTGAGGTCGTCCAGAATGTCTCGAGCGTTGCTGGTTTTCGTGCCCCGAAGAGCGATGACAAGGCGAGGGGCGGCCGCGTTGGGATGAGTATCTTTTCGAAGGTAATGCCTGATCCCCACCGTGGACTCGTCTTCTAAATTAAAGGTGAGTTCATCCATGCGCGTCCAATAAATAGCCGTGTACAATTCCGTCCGGACGTCTGCTTCGTACTCGGCCTCAACGAAATGTTTCGACAAATACTGGAAGCTGGTAGTTTCCTTGTCACGGGAATAGACTCCATCGACCAGCATGGCAAGCACCTGCTGCAGATTTGCATTACGTATGAAACTAGCAACTTCAGGTGGTAGAGTCCGGTTAGGGGTGGCAGCCGCTTGTTGCTCTTTAACCCAGTTATCTATAGATTGCGCCTCCTTCTTCATCCTGGCGAAATCCTTGAAATGTTTGTAGATCGCTAAGGAAATCATCGTGAAACTGCGAACACCCTCCCTGGAGATGTCCTATGCGCTTAAAAGTGAGCGTGACGTAAGCGTGTGCTTCGTTGAACGTGTTTCACCTGCTATTCGGTGGATTGAGCAAGACACTGCTGTCAGGGACCACGGTTGAATTCTCGAGGACAATGCAAAACCCTGTGTAACGATGACATAACGACACATGCAGCAAGATCGCATCAACGGCATTATCAGACGCAGAAGTGTGCAATGTCGACATACAGCCGGAAGAAATCAATGGCATCCACAGAATCCACAAAATGACATCATCTCTAATGCATGTCGCCTGCAAGTAACAAAGTCAAAGCTCACCCGGAATCAACTAACGCCTCGGACCACGCATCCGACCACCCGTTTGCACAGCTGCAGGCACATACAACGTCTGAAGACGGCTCATATAATGACACCCACACTATGCTACTCAATATGTACGTTTCTGATAAAGATTCGATCTAGGCAACCATTTCAGCACCCAACTCCCATAAAACGTAATTTTGGTGAGTATCTTTCTTTTAGTGGAATGTTTCGATAGTGTGGGCACTCTCCAGAATTCTGCTTCGCTTGGCGGTCGATGATCAGCAATCAATGCATGAGAAATATGAGTGAACTACAGCTACGAAGATGCTTCGTTTGGTTCTGTCGTCGAGGATTCCGTGTCCAGCGACCCCTCCTAAGAATGGTAAAATCCAATTCGGCAACTACAATGGTCAAGTGCGTGACGCACTAGGTGACGATCGAAATGGACTTTCGCCCTCTTTTTACTCAAATAACACTGTCGTCATCGTCGGTATGGACACACGGAACACATGACTGTCTCATCTTTGCACTTATCCCCAAACCCTAATTACTAGTTAACAAAAAAATGACAATTTTTTTAATTTCTTGATTTTCTACTTACAATTAATTTATGGGCATTCATGCGGATAGCATGGTTGGAAAATGGTATTCTTAAAGATGGGTTTTAAGTCGGTAGAATCATGTGATAATCTTTATTGTCTATATTTTATTTCAAATGGACTGTCAACTGACCATGCAAAGAATCAAAAAAATTGAGTGGCCTTTTGAATTGTTGTAGTATATTGCTGTTGTTGTATTTAGTTTTATGTTTTAGTTTCGGATTTTTCCTCTCTTTAATTCTAAATTCTTGTTTCTGCTAAATACAAATGATCCTGCTACTCAAGCCTGCTACTCAAGGGAATCTAAGACCCATTTTGACACTACGATTGGATTTACATTTGCTGGCAGATTTTGATGCTTTTGACCATTGAACGAGGAGCTTTGAATGTGGGTTGGAGGGTATCAATATTATTTCAGGGTGAGGGGAATGGTAGATGTCTCTTCTCAAGCATAATCTATTAATAGACATTGTAAATCTATTGCAAAACAATAGAGTCTTCACAATAAATAAAACAAAAGAAAAAACAAGAACCAAAATATAAGGAGGATTCTAGACATGGAAGAATTAAGTTTTGAGAGTCCTTTCAAGTATATTTGTGAAAACTTGAAGCAAAATAATGTTTAAAATATTTCAAAGATTTTATAGTAGAACACAGTTACAAAAATCAAAGATAAGTAATATATAGCCATGACCAAGATGACTTGATGCACCTTTCATTTCTTTTGGCCAATCTATGCTTCCAATAACATGATATCCAATATTTGGATTGACATTGATTTTATTCACTTAAAGTTGTATAGGATTTTAAAAACTTGGTATATCATAAGAATACTTATAGTATCATACACAATAAGAAATTTCAAGAAAAAAATGTAGCAATATATTTACCACTACGTCATGTATAACATGATTATTTGTGTCACATGCAACATATTCATATTCATATTAATAAAGACATTATAGTTAATTATTATATCTATTTACTATTAATAAAATAATACATAATTTATCTAAAATCATCCACATAAACAAAAGATACTTTGCATAAATGTTATAAATGTTGTGAGTGTATTTGACTTTTTGTATTGTTGCTAAAAATCCAAATATTTAAATGTAGTGCTAGTATTTTAAACAAATGTATAATTATATTAGAAATAAGTTATGTAATTGCACTAAAAGTAATATAAGCTTAAATTGAAATGTTATGTTGTCAAGGATAAGAACTCGATGAAAAAATAATTCAGATAAGTGAACCTTCAGTCAAAAAGAGGTAACAAAATATATATAAACAAGTATATATATTGAAAGAGAAACTGGAATGGCTATTGCCAAAAGAGAAGAAAACTAGAGACCCTTGAAACTAGACTAGAAGCAAGAAAGGAATTGACAAGAGTGAAGAAGCCTTCACTCTTGTCTCTATATATACTCTCTAACTAAGGGCTACGTGGCGACATTCTATAGGACCTCCAATATGTGTTGACTTTGTAGGGCACATGCCTTGACTTACAAGGCAAGTTTTTCTACGTGTGGGCCACATAGTTAGCTTGATCTTCAAGTTAACAACATGTGTGGCACATGGCCAACTTGTTGACCACATTTCTAATCCAAAAAGTCAATTAAAGACACCTATGAAGTCAAAGCAGCGTCTAGGAAGTCTCTAGAGAGCTTTCATATTAAATATTATAGAATTAACTTACTTTTACCTACTTTTACTTACTTCTATCTATTTCTATATGTAATTATTAGCTTACATGATTATGGCCATGACATTATCCTCCCTTCTAGGAACGAGTTCCACGAGGAGTGGTCATCATATGTTGAAGAAATCTATAATGCGACGAATTGTATTTGCCACATACTCTGATCTCTGTTCTCTTCGAAGATGATTGATAGGGCCTCTCAACCATCGGTAGTGTCCCATACCAGGGTGGAAAGACCACCCAGTTATTTGATCATTGTTGAGGCCTTCGTAACTTCCTTCGAATAGAATATTTGGAACACCATCAAGAGTTGTTCCTACCTCTAGCAAAATCACCAAACATCGGAGTCCCTTCCCAAATCGTGATACCAAACGCGTTGTATCTCACCATCTATTCGAGGAAGAACATGTCGTTCTTAAGGATCTTCATTTCGATTGCGTCGTCTTGAAGGTTGTGACAATCGTAATGTCTCGTCCGACAGGTCAGCAAATGAAGGCTCTTGAGTTGAATCCGCTGGTTGTTGGTTCTCCATTTCCTGAGCGCCACTACTACAATGAAGCTACGAACAAGAATTGAAAGTAGAATGTTATCTTGCCTAGATGTTGTTTCTTTTATAAAGAAGGTTTTTATCTTGATTTTGATGGATGTCGTCGATGAAAAGCCTCCACCGCCTTTGCTGCATTTGCAAGATTCTTTATTGGCTTCCATGTGCATTCACTAATACCATATCCACGCGAATGGACAAGATATTCTAATTTATTTCGACGTCGCCTTGAATCTAAGACTTCTTCTACTTCAAACTCTTCATTATTGTCCACTTCTATAGGAAGAGGTGGAGCTTGTCGTCTTCTTGGTATGTCCACTATCTTGTATGGTTCAAGAAGAGACACATGGAATACTGGATGGATTTTCATTGACTCCGGTAGATGTAAACAATATGCAACTGGATTGATTTGTGCAGAAATAGAAAATGGTCCCAGCCTTCGATAGTCCAACTTGTCACAAGGACAAGTGGTCTTGATATTGCGACGAAGTAGCCATACCTTATTACCTAAGATGAATGATGGTTGTTCCTTTCGATAGACATCCGCATTGGTCTTTTGTTATTTTTGAGCCTCTTTTAACTGTGCCTTCATCGTTGCATGTAGCTCTGATAAATGAATTGTCAAATCTTTCGCAGCAGGATTATCAACTTTTGAAAAGTCAAAAGTATCAAGTCGTGGATGATAACCATAATTAGCAAAGAAAGGTGTTTGTTTTGTAGAAGAGTGTACCGTGTTATTGTAAGCAAACTCTGCCAATGGCAAAAGAGTTGTCCAATCATCTTGTTGGTAATTAATGGTACATCTTAAATATTGCTCCAAAACTTGATTAACACGCTCCGTTTGTCCATCAATTTGAGGATGGAATGCCGAAGATAGTTTTATATCCACTTTAAGAATCTTGAAAAGAGTCCGCCAAAATCTTGATACAAATTGAGTTCCCCTATCTGATATAATATCCTTGGGTAATCCATGATAGCGATAGATATTGTAAAGAAAGAGCTTAGTTGTTTCTTCACCTGTGATAGTTTTTGTACATGGTACAAAATGTGCCATCTTGGTAAAATGATCTACTATCATGAATATAAAGTCATAAGAACCTGAGATTCGAAGATCCGTGATGAAGTCCATAGAAACAAAAGACCATGGTTGTTCTGGAATGGGTAATGGCTGAAGAAGTCCAAAAGGTTGATGACGAGGAGTTTTTGATCTTCAGCAAACATCACATGATTGTACAAAATCTTTAACTGCCTTCCATATTTGAGGCCACCAAAAATCCCTAGATATCAGCTCCAAAGTCTTATTATATTCGAAATGTCCTGCTACTGGGAAGTCGTGACGAGCTTGAAGAACACGTAAACGTGCTTCTCCTTCTGGAACATATAGGCATCCTTCGAAATAGAGTAGATTGTTCTTGAATTCAAATTTAGATGGATCATGAGATTTAGAAGAATTGTTCTTGATATCATGAACAAGAGGGTCTGAAGACATACTTAATTGGACTTGCTTAAAGAAAGTTAAATCAACAGTCAATGTTGATTTTATTGCTCGGAGATGAAATTGTTCCAGCTTCAAGAGAACCATTCTTTGTTGCTGAAAAGCTGCATCTCCTTCTTTTGATGCAAGATAAGAACTTCTAGACAAGGCATCAGATAAACCTTGTTGTTTTCCTGGCCAATAAGTGATGATGAACTCGAATCTTGATAAAGACATGCTCCAACGAGCTTGGCGACGATTTAATACGCATGCTGACATAAAATATTCGAGGTTCTTGTGATCCGTATACACGGTGACTAGACTAGAAGCGCCTTCTAGATAATGACGTCATTCTTGAAAAGAATCCACAATTACAAGAAGTTCTTTGTTGTGGATCTCATAATTGATTTCTGTTGTTGAAAATTTTCTTGAATGAAAGGCTATTGGATGAAGTTTTTCATTTGTTTCCATTTGTGATAAAACCGCACCTAGAGCAAAGTCCG